AAGCCAGTACAGCTCAGGAATATCTGGCTTAGCTTTAATTCAGTTAGTTCCAATAAAGACAGCAGCTTCCACAGAGATTGTATAAATGCCACTGGAAACCCTGGGTTTTTTTCCAAACTTTAAATCAAAGAATCCATGCTCAAACTGGCACGTTACACCTACAGTCACCAAAATTAGCAATGTTACATTTGTCTTAGGTTGGGGAGCACATATTTGTCAAGGATAACAAAGCAAGTTGCAGATTCAGTTCCACAGAACACACTAAGGCAATTTAACAGCTTATTTGTCTTAACACACAGATCTCCTTCACTGCACAAGTTGAAGCTACTACAATACACAAACAATCATTTTATAATATTTTTTTTGCAGTAGAACATGAACAAAAGGTCAGATGGTAAATTAAAAAGTAGAAAAATAGTGATAGTGAAAAATATACCTTATTCTCCTGCATGTCTCATACCCACAAAACTTTGAGCAGATTAATCCCCAATTATACAACAGCCAGGCTGGATGGGGCTCTGAGCAACCTGGTCTACTGGAAGGGAGGTAGAACAAGATGATCTTTAAAGTTCTTTCCAACCCAAACCATTCTGTGATTCTGTACTAAGTGTACCACCCCCTGGAAAAGTGCCAGGAACACTCAGAACTTCACCTCCATTTCAGGAACACAGAATATGCTCATTTACTGACACTAAAGTGGTAAATGTTTAAAACTAAACGTGCAAGTAAAGAGTAGGTAAGAGTATTTTAAATTGACATGGGCTCAAGTTTTTCCTCTCAGGCAGGGCTGCAGAACAGCATGGACTTACTGCCTGCCTGGACAAGGACTCATAGGAAGCTGTTCAGCCTTCCACCCATGTCATGGCCAGCAAGCACACATGTACAACAGTGACCAAAAACCAGTATGAATAGAGCCTGGCACAAAGGGGAACACAAAACACTGGAGAAAGACATCAGGCCACACAAAGGAACCTCAGCACAGCAAGAGGCAGTGGGTAAACTATTCTGACTTCTGTAAAGGACAACTCCTGTGGGGTCACAGACACAGAACTCCTCTCCAGAGGGAGAAAAGGCTCTCCTGCAACAAGCCTGCACCTGGATTCCCCTGGTCTCAGCAGCCCCTGTTGCAGCTGCCAACCAACCAGTGGTTTCCCCAAAACTCCTTCTCCTCTCCCTCATCTCCTTCTGCTCAAAGGAAGGTGTGGAAGACAGAGAAAACCTCAGATTTGTAATACAAATTCAGTTACGACTTCACCTCAGAGGCTGCCACGTGTATCAGAATGGCCTGTAAAAGCTCGGACCTAAAGAACAAAGGCATGCAAAGCAGACAAATTAAATTTAATTTTATTATGGAAATGAAAGCAATAACAGAAGTGACAGCAGGGTGGATGATAAGCTCACTTAGCAGGGGGATCAAATGAAGTGATGACATGTCATTATGACCTCAGGGGTTAAAGATGCAATTTTCCATCTGGCTGCATCTGGCTTTTCAACAGAAATGTTGACACCACCTGCCGAGATTTACCACAAGCTGCCTCCATAGGTCTTTGTTGTCCAGGTTAACATTTACTTCTCCCTCTTTCTCCTAAGTTTTGCTGAGCAACATGCTCCCTTTCTCCAAAGCCTAGTAACAGTTAACAGGATTTACATGCCAGTTCATACAGCAGTTGAAATTATTAATAGTCACCTCAAAAGCAGCTTAAAGAGAAATACTAGAAACCTAGAAAGCAGGTAAAACTAGCTTTAAGATTGTAAACAGGAAGGCAAAATTTTAGCTACACTTGCTAATATCTTGACTAAGACATTTGGGAATCTATTTTTCTCTTAGTACCAGGCACCTGATTAAAACAATTTTTCTAAAAAAGAAAATAAAATCCTTAGCATTAAAGACCTAGTTTGTACTCCCCATACCCAACTGACTATTAGCCACCTGCATGTGTTTTATTCAGCAGCTTAATCATTTCCAATTCCAGATACACTGTGCTTAAAATAAATCAGCTCTTGCCAGCCCAGTGACACATTCACTTATTCATCTAATTTCCCCACAGCCAAACCATGATCTCAAACCAAATTTGTAATCAGCCATTGACACACTGCTGGCTATAAGGTTTTTGTTTCCACGTGGAATATTTAAAAGCTGGTACCTACCAGGGGAGTTCCTCTTCATCTGGAATAGGACTGTGTGCCTACTGCCACTGGATACATCCATTACAGTTTTGCCTGTGCCAAGCTTTTTTCCTAAACCTGCATCTCCCAGACTGTTCTCTGCCAGCACAGGTGAGCTAAAACGTTTGCTTCCAGCTGTTTTTAAAGTGACCAGATTCTTCTTTCAAAAGAACCTACAGGGTGTTTTAACTGTTTATAAAAAAACAAAAACATAAAACCTCCACTAGGACTTGGTTACATACCAGGGAAAGAGGGGAAGAAAAGCAAAACCTTCCATGGATTTTGAGAGCACTCTCAGTTATGAAAAGACAGGAGGAAATGGAGACAAAGAAGCTTCCATGGAGCAAAGAATAGCCAAGAAACAAACCAGAGAGTATCCAGACCCACTGGAGATGAAAATAATTACATTGAAAGACCACCACAAAAATACCTATGAATACCTTCTCCTCACAGAACTCTCTCACCACAAAGGCAATTATAGAATCATAGAATGGGTTTTGGGTTGGAAGGGACCTTAAAACTCATCCAGTCCCACCCCCTGCCCTGGGTAGGGACACCTTCCACTAGCCCAGGTTGCTCCAAGCCCCATCCAACCTGGCCTTGGACACTTCCAGGGCTGGGGCAGCCACAGCTTCTCTGGGCTACCTCTGTGCCAGTGCTTCAGAGGGAGTTAGCAGAGGGGTGTCATAACCTTCTTCCCCTGGAATGGAAGATGCACCACCCTCCTCTCCAGATGCCTCACCCTGGGGAGCTGGGAACCCTTGTCCTGAACAGACAATTGGTCGCCCATTTCTGCATCTGTCAAGGTATGTTCTGAATGACAAGTGAACTTTTGGTTTTCCCTTCAACATAAAGGAATAAAACAAAGTGTTCCCATTCACTTTGCACATGCTGAACTTAAAACACATGCTTCACTGCTAAACTGAACAGGAATGACTTCAGCATATGCTTAAATGCTGTCCTGATTCAGACCTAAAAATAGGAATGGTTTCTGCGGTTCCTCTTTCTCCCGCTCTGCTAATGACAGACAGCTATTGTGCCCTGTCATTCTGACAATAAGAGAGCTTAATTGCCCTCTTTCCAGCAGCTGTCAGTTCTGCTTAACTGGGACATAATGTGAGAGTCTGGGAGGAAACGTGTTAATCTATCAGTCACTTATAGCTACTGTGCATTTTCCTGGGCTGGATTTAAAGAAAACCCTGGGGTTTATGACTGACTTGCTAGAGATTATATTCATTGATATGGGCAGCAGTGATATTACTGTCTTATGACTCATTTCTTTGTGAAAGATCCATGAAATAACTATCTCCTTCTTTATTTACTGCACTTTTCCATCTCAGCTTCAACCTGAACATGAATTTCCCCATACCTGGGGAATTTCCCACACATTTAAGGTGTGGCCAAAAAAGGCCTCCACAAATATGACAGTGTAAAATGAACTGGTTGATCCTGGAATTAACGAGGATTGATGAATCAGAATGTTTGGAAACACCTGTAGTTGCTTTAGAGTGTTTTGTGCATTTCTATTTATAGGAACACAGTCACTGAAAGCACACAGAGGAGAATAAGAATCAACATCATCTACAGTGCATAATAAGCAGCTATAAACTGAGGGTCTTTAATTCTCCAAGAAGTTCTGATAAGGTCACACCTAAACCTACAGCCTGTGCAGGCTCAGTTCTCTGTCACATTCCCCTTTCTGATCATAATTATTACCAATTTCCCTCTATATCCCCTCACTGCTCCTTGTGTCTCGTGCACTGAAGTTATTTTTCTCCCACACTCTCTTGTTAAATTGTGAACTGAAAAGCAAAGACTAATTTTAACCGGTTTTATGAGTCTACATTTTGCTATATTAACCAGTATGAAAATGGCATTTTTTTTGTGTTTACATCAGTAATGCCTATTCCAACTCACACCTTCTTTTGTGGCCCTTCAGAGAAGGCTGCGAAGACATAAAAAGGAAGGAAGAAAATACAAAAGCTGTATGGAAAACAGAATAAATCTGACAAGAACAATATAAAGCTTAGTAAGATTTGAACATGCAGATTGCTTTAATCATTTAATCCACTTTCCACTGTTTTCCTACCGACACTTTTGGTTTTAAGCCATTAAAACATGCTGATATTGTAACCAGTCTGGCTGCAAACTTCCCAAAACTCTGGAAATAAGCCATGCTGACTCTGTTGAAAGAACATAGGTGAGGCACAGAAGTGCTGAAGTGCAGGGACTTTGCCTGGAAGTGGCAGAGTCACTGTTTCCTCTCAAGTGAAGTGGAAGCCAAAGCACATTGTCAGGGAGAGGGAGCTGGCAAACAGCTCCAGGGGCAGGAGCACACAGTGCATGGAGATTTGTGACACTTACTCTGGTGTTGATAATCAATTGCTACAACTGCTACAGCCCATAAATCAATGTTTCCTACAGCTGTCAATGGTCTGCCTGTGCTGTCAATTCAATTCAGAACTAGGAGTTATTTCTTACCTTTATCCTGAAGTTATATAAGTGATATATAAGCTTTTTTCTTCCTGAGAGATTGCAATAGAATGAAAATTCCCCAGAAGCTGTTTTTTCCCCCAAAAAAACATCTATTAATAGATTCACAAAAACTCACATTTTTATTTAAAATGCAATTCCTCCCTCCTTTCTCCAGTCATGTCACTACATAAAAAAATGCACTGAATATCTCCACAAGAATAGCTGGACAGACACAGCTACTAAATGAAGAAGAGTGATCTTATTTCCACGTATAGGGGTTTTTTCACTTTGCTGATACTTGTTCACAGATGAAGTATGCTGAAAACATTACCCACACCAATAACTACTGAAGAACTTACTTGATTTTTTGAATCCAGATGCAATAGTCTGTAATGAAGAGATCGTTAAGGATGTAGGCAGGGTCACTCTCCCTGAAAATCTTGTGAATGTCCAGCAGACACTTCAAAACTGCAGCTTTTCCTGGAAATAGATTTTTGTTTTTGTGAATCACTAGAAATCTTAATAGATCATATTTATCATCATCTAACCTGTGATGCTTTAATAACATTGGTATCTGCAACCATCCTGGAACTTTAGAGTTGAATCACAGGCTCAGGACAGCAGCAGTGTAACTGTGTCCTTTGGTATCCACATCCCTCTGAATTCAGTGGGGATCTCTCTGCAACACTAAAGCCTGAAGGCACAGTCATGCATGTAATTCTCCACAGCTGAAGGAGCCCCTTCCCCCAGCTTTTCCACTTCTCCAAGCTCTGCTGTCCCAGACTTTGTAACAGGCACAGTGTGCATGGTATTTTGACAAAAAAAAAAAAAAAAAAGAGTAAACTGAAAAGCAACTCACAAATAACAAAAAGTTATGACCCATCATTTCTCTGGAGGAAAACACATTTCCCTTTATGCCTCCACAAATACCTGTGCTGGAAAATAGCAGGTTTGGGAAGACACAGCCCTCAGCAGGGTCAAGCACATGGAATTGTGTCAGGCAGTGTAATGATGCCACTGCCCAACAGCTCACCAGGGCCCAAAATTAAGGAAAACTTTTCCTGCTTCTGACTAGTTACTGAATAATTTGTCAAAATGCAAGAAAAACTCCCTTTAGGCCCAATAAAGGGCCATTTGACACACAGATAATCAACTCAGTAAAAGATGAAAAATGTAAATGATTTATCATTCCACAACCAGAAGACTTTCTGTTGTCAGTTTGATTTTTCCTTCATATGCAACAATCCAATTAGCTGGAATCTCCTCCCTTGGTTTTCTGATTACAGTTGCTAAAGGGTTAAGTGCTGGAACACTTAAAAAAAATTATTTTTGCTGTTTAATGGGGGAAAAAACCCACCATATTCAAATGAAAACAGCCACTACTGCAAATGGAATCTAATAACCCTCTCCCAAGAGGCTGGCTCCTCCTAGGCTATGAAACCTGAACAGGGATGAAATTACATTTTACAGATTTAGAAGAGCAGGGGGAAAAAAAAGGAGGGAAAAAAAAAAAGAAAAAAAAAAGATCAGAACTCCCCCTGCTGTTCAAGCAAAACACTTGTTTATTTGTTTGTAAGTAATTCCATGCTGCAAAAATAGAGATAGAGAATGAAAGTTAAAGGATGAGGAAGATGGCAATAAGGAGAAAGAACCAAGAGTAATAAGCCACGGCAAAGAACTGAAAAACTCGCTGGTTTGGGAAACCTACTGAAGAAGTCAGGTAAGAAAACAAAATCCCAAATATAACTGATAACTTTTAGACTGCATCCCCATCAATGCTTGTCAAGCCAAGCTTGTCAAACTTCACTATTTTGACTAAAAAGAAGTGAGCTCTTTTAAAAAGAAATGATATGTGGAATTAAAATCTTGCTAATTTTCTCAGGTTCCAGCTGTCAAGCTGTCAGCCCAAAGCATTTACAACATCCACTCCTGCTACTCATCTGCCAAGCGACAACGCACAGCAGTGAATATCGCACTAATTCGCAATTAAAAAGTCTTTCTTCATAAATTAAAAGTTTGGGATTCCAGGAGCTTAATGGGTCTCTAATTAGAGAGGCTGCAAATCTTGCCAGACATGGAATAGGGAATCCTGAGTCAAGGCAAACACGGAGCACAGCAAACTACCAAATGTCTGCTTTTAGAGTGTGAGTCCATGTGATTTAACACAGTTTTTGCATCTCTTCGGTGTGAAGTCACAGCTCTGCATTTAACTGATCAATAAATACACTGCTTTTTATGTGCAGATACTATTTCCTGATTATGCAAAAGATCCAAACAGTTTTAAAAGCACACATATAAAAAGGTCCCAACATCTATAACAGAAAATCCAGAGCACTTGTCTGCAGATCACTGGGTTGTTCTGGAGTTCCTCGCTATGACAGCTGCTACCCCACAGCCTGCAACTTGAATTCTACAGAAAGTCAGTCCTCTTTTCACACACTATTTAAAAAAAAAAAAAGGATGTAATTTGACCCCAGCTCTGTATCTGCCATTTGATAGAACAAATTATACTGATTCTACACCATCATGAAATTCTACCACCTTTGATACTGGGTATTTGGAAGCAAAGGAAATTTAAAGTCACATATATCTATTTTACATTATTTTTCCTGAAGACTTCTGTATGTTTTTCCACATTTTCAAGGAGAAGCATTCATCTAAGAAAATAAACTGAACTTTACTGTTTCATTTAAAAGAGAGAACAACAGCATTTTTAAACACAAGAAAAGAACCCTCAAAGACTTTTAAATTGAAGCATCCTGGTAATAACTTACCCAGTTAGGCAACAGTACTATCTGTTTTTAATGGGCAATTGTAGAATTGTAAATATATTAGTGTTAGGTTCTGCATGAAAAGAAGCAAAGGATATTTTATGTTGCAAAAAAGAGCCCAAATGAGTTTTTATTACCAGCTCATAGATGACAACTTCAGAATCAAAGAATCAGAGGATGGTTCAGGTTGGAAGGGACCACAGTGGGTCACCTGCTCTGGCAGGGTCATGGATGTACCACTGCCATTTCACTCCCTTTTTCAATCCTACCCAAAGAACAGATAAATGCAGTCAATAACTACGTTGATTTTGAACAGTTTCGTGGAGTACTTTAAGTACCACAGATCACTAGAACAGCATATGAAAAAATCTGCTGAGAACCTCAACATTAATCAGCTCAATGCATTTGTCTTACAATTAAGACTCTGGCAGGAAGTCTTAATGCAAAATAAAGTGTTTCAACCACATGCAAGGATCCTTAATAGCTTAAAAATGCAGTATCCTGTATCTTGGAAGTGATCCATCAACACAGGACTAATATTTTTAAAGCCAAGTAACATAACCTGAGGCATTCAGTGCCATCAGAATTCTTTAGTATTTTAAAATATATCAGTTTACTGTGCTTATTATTAGCGAAACATTGCATTATACCATGTCCCAGCTTCTGTCAACAGCATCCTGAAAGAAATCTCAAGTCAGGAGAGGACAATTTAAATCAATTCTTCCTTTAAGTTAAACAGCAGTCCTTGAATCTACATCAAAAGCAAGTTTTGTGTTACTATTTAATTGAATTCATTATCTGTTATTGATTTTTACCTATGTCCCTCACACCCATATAACAATACAGTGCCAAATTGGTGATGCATCATTTCCAAAGAGGGTAACAGAGTATTTAATGTTATCTACACTTAGTCTGATTTGCACAGTGCATACTTTGCTAAGTATTTTGTAAAAACAGAAGTCCCCCAAAGGAACGGTTCAAATACCACTGAAGACTGAAAGGGGAAAGTTTTTGACTGAACAAATGTGTCTTGGTGGTACAAGCATTACCTACAACCCTATTTCTTTTAACAATACCTACACACACTCTCTTCCCCCATCCTGCTTCTGACTACAGATGGGTAACCCATCCACTTGGTACCTTTCCAATTCTTTGGCAGTTGGCTCCTTTAAAAAATCAGCACTGCTCACACTCTACATGCACCAAAATAGTAAATACTGATTTCATACACAAACCCCAGAACTTTCAGAAGTTCACATTCATCACCATTACTTTCATCACTACACTGCCCATGCCACTCCCAATGGATTTATGTCCACATGAAGTGGAATCACAGAATGCTTTAGGTTGGAAGGGACCTTAAAGACCACCCAGTTCCACCCCCTGCCATGGGTTCCAGGTTGCCCAGGTTGCTCCAAGCCCTGTCCAACCTGGCCTTGGACACTTCCAGGGCTGGAGCAGCCACAGCTTCTCTGGGCAACCTGTGCCAGGGCCTCCCCACCCTCACAGGGAAGGATTCCTTCCCAACATCCCATCTAACCCTGCCCTTCTTCAGCTTAAGGTCTTTCCCTCTTGTCCAAATACTCCACACCCTTGTCCAAAGTCCCTCTCCAGCCTTCTTATGTGCCTCCTTTAAGTACTGGAAGGGCCTCTAAGGTCTCCATGAAGCCTCTTCTTCTCCAGACTGAACAACCCCCAGCTCTTCTCAGCTTTTCCTCATCTCCCTTACCAAGCTACTAAAGAAATTTTGTTGGATCACTGAAAGTTCACTGCAGTACCATTTTCCATCATGACATTGAAAGAAAAGCAAGTATCTTATCTCTCCTCTACTATCCTCCTTAGAAAAAAACAAATCCAAAAGGCTGACAGCACTGGATCATTGCAGTTTTGCTACCAGAATTTTATTTTTTCACATGTATGAACAGCAACATAAGCCAGTGGAGATAAGTGAAGAAGGACAGCATCTATCTCCCCCTTAAAACTTCACTACCTGACTGCTATAATGTAAACAGTATTTTGAATCAATAGTTTTTGGCAGTGGTAGAGATTAATATTGTCATTTGTGTGGGTTTTTAATCCTGCAATTGAAAATAAACCACTGAAGTGCTGCTTCTCAGTGATTCTTCTGTCCAAAAAAATTAATCTTAACCCTGAATGTGTTTTTTTTTTTTTTTAAAAAAGTAGTAACTCACGATAAATAGAAAAGTTGCAAGTAACTTTAATAACCCAAGATATAAACATGGTTGTGTACAACTGCAAAACTGGAGCTGGAAAAGCCATAGGCTTGAAGATCTGTACTGTCACAGGAAAGCTCTCTGGGATAAACAGGGAATATACAAAAAGAATATCACTGCTGAAGGAACAATTTGCAGTCAGTCAGATGCCAGCTCCACTCCTCAAGGGGAAACAAAAAGCTACAAAAACACAGCGTACAGCCAGTTTTTTATTCTTTGGGGTCACCTCAACCATTTTGCCTTAAACCTGCAAAGAACTGTAACACTGAGTAGGAGCCACAAAAGTACCCCTTCTCCTCGGGTGTGTGATTCTGCACAGCAGTACTGAACTGCCCCACACCATGGAACACCTCAGGAATACTGCTTGTATTATCTGCTGCCTAATAAATTAGTTGCTTCAGAGGCTTTCTACTGCTAAAGGCACTCATTTTTTTCCCCTCTTCTCTCCACAGCCCCATTTTCACAAAACCACCACACGTCCAGAAATGTTGGTACTTCAAGTTTGGGTGAAACTGGCCAAAGGATTCAAAGTTATTAAAGCAAACAGACACACAAACAAGGTGGCTCTGCAGGCATCACTTCCAACCCCTAAAAAACTCACCTAATTGCAGTATCATGACTGTGTCACTGAGGGCACGTGTCACTAACCCAAAATGTCTGTACAGGGGGTAGCACAGCACTCTTCTTCCAAAAGATACCAGGACATCATGGATGCAAGTGAAGCTCTGTGCATATCAGTGAAAAAAATCTGAATTAGTCTTTGTGCTTGTTTGTTTTCCTTTAAGGAAAAAAGTCATAGCAGAACAGGAGCAAAAAAAAGTAAATTTTTATATATTATGCCTCTAAAAAGCTGTATTTGAATAGATATGGAAATCAACATGTTAAACAGAAACAAGACACTGCACATTTGGTTTGCATGGCAGGATGACAGAAGTCCTGTACATTTTAGTGGTTTTGGATTAAAAAAAGAACGTAGAGAACATCAGAATAAAACATCTACCTCAAGACTTTGCCATCCTTTAGATTAAAGCAATAAATTACATCTGTCCCACATTATTATATATATTAAGGAGAAGCTATAAAAAGCCTTTTAAAACTAAAGAAAAATTAAATCCACATGATATTAACCAAATACATGTGTACATATAAGATCTTTAGAAATGATACATGACTCTGCCTTCCATGAAAAATATAGATATTCAAGACAAGGATAAATATACCTGCCTGGGGAGAGCAGTTCCTTGTCCTCCTTTATGAGTGAGGAAGACCTCTAATTTACTCAGGCCAGAGGCATTAAGGTGGTATTAAAGACTTTTTTAAAGGAGTGATTTTCTTCCCAGCTTTCACTTTTCAAGACAAAATACCCCATTTATGAATTCAAATAAAAATACCTATTTCATCTTGAACCCTCAATTTATTAAAATTAATAAAAACACTTTGCTGACAGCCAGCACTTCTCTGCACCGTGACTACCTCAACCCATTTTTCATTTTAATGGATGGCCAGCAAGCATTTAAATCATTTATGGTTTGTGATTTAATATTTAAAGGCTAAGGTGTGTGTACATGTCATGCCCAGCAAAATGGCAGCCAGTTCAAACAAACCAGAGCTCAGGCAATTTTGTTTACAGAATGATGAAAACACCCACCCTACATGGTTTGTATAACAGAGATAGTTATTAACAGCTTGGTGCCAGGAGACTGAATTTTCTGAGTATGAAACATACAGTTGGCACAGGCTGCACCAAGAACTGCTATATCATAAGGACATGCACAAAACCCCTTTACTATGTTAGGACATGGATCTGAAAAAGATAAATCGGGAATTGAGGCAATCAGTGCATTTTAAGTGCACTCTTTTGTGACCTGCTACTGCAGAATTAATAATAAAAGATCTAGAAAACCTGTTGTCAGAATAAGTTATTAGTGAATGTAACATTCACCACCACTAGAAAAGTTCAAAGGATGAACCCAAAAGTCCTGTCAAATTTCAGTTTTGATCCTGCAAACTGAGACTTGGCTCAGTAACTTCAGGAATGGGGCTGGGACAGTCCTTCCCAGCTTGCTGCATCATGACAGTGAGTGGATTACAGGCCATCCTTTCCACTGCCAGCTCTTTAGCAACTTCTTTACACAGGTCTGTGTACACTCAGTGAACAGTGTCAATGTGGAAAGAACAGAATTCAGTGTTTCCTCTAATCTGTGTTGGCTTCAAAGGGTGAGCAGCAACCAACCAAACAGGGATGTGGCACTTGGACATGGTTTAACAGGGAACAAGGGGGTGGTGCTGGGATGATGGTAGGACCTGATGACCTTAAAGGTCTTTTCCAACCTTTATGATTCTATAAATAAGGCTGAAAAGACAGGGAGCAGGTAAAGCAACACATATCCACTAACATTCAATACTGAAAGAGTAAACTTTGCCCAAAAGCAACACACAACACCCATAAAACCCCAAGTATACAGCAAAAACCACATAATACAAAACTTTAGTTTTGCCTCACCTCCAACCAGCACAACGTTGCACTCAGTTTCCTGATGTTCCAAGACGATTCAACCTAATTTTAAGAGAAGACAGTAAAATAAGTGTTATCTAACCCCACACTCAAGACTGCTGGCAAACTATTTAAGATAACGTTCTGGCAGCAATTTAAGAACCTTTGTGAATGAGCAGCAGTAATTACATTACGTGCATTGAAATGGCCACAGGACAGCATTAAAAATTATATTGCAATGCAGATGTTGGTTTTCATAGTGGGAATATTGAGCCCATGCACAAAGTCTTTGAAATACAAAAGCAAATGCACAGAGAAACAGTATTTTAGTGGAATTCTGTCCCTTTGCACAAAGCAACAGAAACTTGAATCAACAAAAGCCAAGCTCAACTGCCTTGTTTCATGAAAACAGCTCAAGACTTTTGGCCTTGGGAGAGGGTCCCAAAGCCAGCAGTATATGTAAAATGTCATTATTCTTAAAATGTGACAGATTCACAGTATTTGTGTGCAAGTGTGGTCTAGTGGGATGATTAGGGCAAAAAGCCAGAAAGCCTTGATCTGTAATCCTGCCTCTAGTAAAGATTTGTGTGGCCTGAATGTCTTGGTTTTCCTATTAAACAGGAATAAAAGAAAAAAAAAAAAAGAGGGGAAAAAAGGACAAAACCCACAGTGTGTTTTCTGCATATCCCATACACTCACTGCAAACCAAATAAAGAATTGTACAATTGTGTTCCTGGCAGATTTGCAATTTTGTGCAGCACTAACACACAAAACAACAATCCCAGATTATTCTGTTGAATAAAGAGGTCTGGACATTTCTGCTTCTCTTTCTACAAACCATGCCCTCCAAGCCAATCTGATTAAGACAGAACAGAATTTTGATTACATGTCCCAATATTTTGATTAAAAGCATTCAGAAAACACCTCACTGGTTAATACCAGCAGAGGAGATTCAAGGTTCAAAGCTGTACTTGGGAAGCAAGTCCATTTTCAAAAGGGCAAGTTATCCACATAACAGCATAGAACAAAAAAAGAACAATTATTTTGTTAAATTTCCATTTGCATAAACCAAGACCCATCACAACACAAATCAGAAACAAACAGAATTGTCTGGAATCTCCTGCAAGTCCACATCTCTCCTACTAAAATGCTGCTGCAGAAGAACACAAGTATTTTGAAATCCCAATAATCCCCACATACATCCCAACAGCTCAATCTAGAGATACAAAGTCCTTAATTTTAAGTTAATCATATATTTTTAGTGCTTGGAAGTAAGTTCACTTTAAAAAATAAGTTTCCTAAATGGCAGGACAGGGTCCAGCACTAGCTTCCTAACACATATTTTTATTTTTTCTAACTTACATTTTTGTCCCCTTCATTGACACAGATCTCATAGCAATATGCCAGGAGGATATCAATTAATCCAAGATATACATGATGACGGCTCCTTTTATCCAGCAGGTAAGATTTATTTGTGAACTTTCTGAGCTGCTCTCTCTCTTCCTCAGAGAAGACAACTATAAAAAGTAAAAGGATAATTGATTATGAATTTAAAGCTGGCACATTCATTTTAATAGGTGGTAATACTACTTGAACAGTCTCTTTAAAAAGGAGCATGTAACTAATCACAAGTCACTCATCACTCAAGCAAAAGCCTAAATCATTCTTACTTTCATTTTAACTTTTATTAAACTCTGATATATTCCTTTCAATGTCAAGCTCCAGCCCTGCAGTCTACTGCATGTACACACTGATGATTTGGAACCTCTCAAAGTGCCAAGGATTTCTGCCTGGATGCACAATCAGAAGCTGAGTAAGACGAAGTTTAAGTCCACCTTGTGTGGGAGAAATAAAAGAAGATAGGATAAAAAGATTTTCTTACTGGAGAAAAGGGCAAGAACTAAAAGAATAGGGAAGGGGAAAAAAAAAAAGTACAATTCTGTTTTCCAAGCCTCATCCATTTTGACTCATGACCTAGGCATGGTTGAGGATCTTTGCTGGTGCCGTCTGAGAACATCCTTCGAGTGTCTGAGGGAGATCTAAAAGATCAAAATCCTATCCCCACCAATAGTTATGGAAGCTGCATCTCCTCCCAAAGAGCTGTGGCATCCCCCATCAGTGACCATCAGACTTGGCTTATCTTCAGTGCACCTCCCTTAGTTAAGAGTGGCAATACTGAGCCAAACCAAAGAATCCTCTCACCCAGTACCTTCTCCTTTGGGAGGCACAGGGAAGATGATAACACAACAGGAATGCATCAAAGGATCTCCCTGACAAACAGGGGTACAGACACAGATAGCACAGATTGGACATTGAATGGTCACCCTTCTGTACTTAAAACACTCCAGCAAGGATGGCAGTTACCCTGGAAGAACAGGGGAGGTTAAGCAGAGAACTGAGTAGGAGCCACTTCTGTGCCAACCCAATGGAAACCAAGAAGCCACTTAGAACAATTAAAACTGCCAGAAGCCAAAGCCAAGAGATTTCCATCCAGGCTGCATGGAGCACTGGCATTCCCTGCCCACAGGCTCTGATTCACTCAGTAGGACTGGTGCAGTGAGCAGAGTCTGGTCACACCACAGCAGCAGCTCAGTGTGTTCGCAGATATTTCTCCTCAAATGTTTTACACAATCCACAATCTCTGGGATATAATCCACTGGTAAGACTGGTGGATTTATCCACTGGTGGTCTTTATCACAGGAGCTTTCTAATTTGATGACATGTTTTGAAACAAACGTTTGTGATGCCAAAGGCATGTACATATGCAGGCACCTCATCTCAGGGCATAAAATTATGCATTAGGAGGAACATTTTTGAATATTTCTACTGTATGAACTTTTTTTATGTTTCTATCAGCTTCATAACCATGAAATGCTTGATTTAAATTCCTATGGAAACTTGTTGATGAGCTAAACATTATTCTAGAGTCAAGCCAGTCTCCATTTATTTACAAGCTCCCACAAAAAGAAATTTCAGTTTTTGTATCATCATGACAAAGCCAATCTCTTCCACTTGCTAAGATCTAGAAAAAAGTGACAATTTAGTAAGACTATGGCAGTTCTAACTCTGTTTTTCTGTCCATGCAAAGCAACTCTGTATTACACCTTATATCACTAATACAGGTGATGTATCTATATTCTATCAGTACATTTCTTTGTAAATTGATGCTTCAATGTAAATGTGAACCCTATTTCTCTTTTAAGTAGAAAGCAAAATAATTCCAAGTGAAGTTCATGAAACATGGGAATAAAGTTTTCTTCCTCTAAAATGCAAACTCTGAAGCATCATAACATCTACAACTGGACCCTAAACACAGAAATTCCAAGTTTACTAAACAATGGCAAACAAGACACAGACTAGAGAATTCCCAAAGGTAAATGATACGTGATGTACTCACTGCAAAGTGCCAGGTGTTCCACATAAAATCTCTCTCTGGAGAAAATACTTTAATGTTACAAATAAATATCTATCCGTTCCTTAAAAGTTTTTGAACAGTGAACTATCCAGGCCTGAAACTCATTATTCATCATCATCATGGCTAGGCTTTGCAAACGAAGATTTGGGAAGGACTCTACCCACATTTACTACAAAAGTCACTATTAACACATCCAAATCACCACCTTCTTTGTTTTCCCAGTTCAAAAAGCTAAGTACACGGAGTATGATGAACAAGTGAAATTGTAATTGTAAGTGCACTTCCATACACTTGCATTACCAACATTTTACTTAATAGTCTGTACAAAAATTAATATTAATCTGACGCAAAGCAGAAGCTGCTGGTACTTATCAAGTCTGAATTTGCAAGTTTTCTGTAACTTTGACTTTGCATTGCTTTGTACATTTGTCAGTGGCAAAACCACCCTTCTAGCCCCAGCGAAACTGTTAATATATGCAAGCCTAAAGGACTGAGACAAATTCACCTCACAAAGTTACTGACAGATAGTCCTGCAGAGATTACCTTTACACTTTAATCACCTCTTTTACATACTTTAAACTGGCCATTCCTCATGTTAAAATAAAGATATTTCAAATTGCCCTTCAGAACCTGAGTGTCAACGAAGCACAGTTTAATCTCTGAGGGGAGGATGAGGTCTGACAGCCAGAGGGTGTTTTGTTACAGCCTTACTGGTATTTTGCTGCGATAACACCACTTAAATCACTGTAAGATCTGTATCTCCAGACCACTATGACACTTCCAGGTCTAAATGTGTTAGGGGTACTTAGATAAAATGTGCTATATCTGCACAGAGAGCTGACTCAGTGGTCAGATCAGGAAAGCACAGGTCAGGAAGGACCTCTGATAACCAGCTGTTTTCTGGTGAGAGCAGAGCCTTGGCTTAAGGTCCTGTCAAGCCAAGCCTTGAATCCCTCAGCTCTCTCTCAAAAAAGAACTGAGGAGAACTGATCCCTCCTTATTTGATGTTTTAAATTAAAATATTATTTTACCATATTGAGGTTTTTAAATGTGTACTTCTATCCCTGTAGATGAAGGAATCAGCAACAGCAGATAAAGGAGGAGATTAGTCAGCAGAGAGAGGATTAGTCAGGAATAAAGTTAGTTATTGATATTAATCAGTAGCAAACAAGTCTCTTTTCAAGCTCTTCCTAAGCCATTAAGAGATAAAAGGCAGCACTACTCTGCCTAGAAAGATGCCCAAAGGCTTTGTGCAGGATCAGCATTTTCCCCAGTGCTGGATACTGCCTTGAAAATACTTGATAGTAACGGACTTAAACAAGTGACTGAACTAATGAAGCTGATTTTTTATTGATTTGTCTCTTGTGCTTGAATTTGTTGTGAGGTTTATGAGAGGTTACTGAACCTTCCCACAGTGTTGACATCCTGATAACCTCTCTTTCCTGTATGGACTCCACATTTAAAAACGTGGCACTGAATATTCAAGAAAAGCTCTTTCCCTTGTACACGGGGCCATTTTTGGAGAAGTTTGCAGATGAGCCCATTTTTAGGACCCCCTAAAGCTCTGTCAGGGAGACTTGTGATGAGAAGAGCCTCAGTTTTACAGGAAGTGAACTAGGAGGTCTAAAATCACAAAGTTATTCTCCTGTGCACATCTATATTCCCTCTAAACTATGATCAGCCAAGTCTGCTTTGTTCATCCCTCCCCTTTCTTTGCCTTTCTTCCATTAAAATTTTAGCTCCTTCACTAATATATTTTCTTCCCTGCACTTCTTGAATCAACACATTTCCTCCACATCACTTCTGACTTTCTTCCTCCAGGCATTCTCCATGGAATCATTGGACTTGGACAGTCTTTCCTGGATCTCACAATCTCCTTATACTAATTTTTCCCATTATTCTTTAAGAAACACACAGTTCCTGCAAACCATATCAAAGCCATACATCATTCTTTCTTCTTACTGTTCTTGCCTTTTAAAACCTGAGGTACTTTACAGAGGAGACAGATCATTAAGGATTTTGCATGAATAAAAAGCAATCTTCCCTCACATGACAAATACCTGCTCTGCAGCAGAGCAGTGCCAGGAAGACAGACATGATGCAAAGGTGGCAGAGCAATTGCAGAAATCTGATAAAAAAGGAAAAATTATTCATCTTAAACTTATGAATCTACCAGTAATGGTATATATTTGAGCCAAGCTCTACTGAAAGGTGGATCTTTAAGAGGAAATTGCTTCTCATTCTATAAAGAAATCAGGAGAATGGTCACAGGTTACCATGAACAAAATAAGATATCCTTGGAGCATATAAATGTTAGATTGAATACATATGTCAGCCTGAGCCTTTGAAGATTATTGTGTTGCCTAAAGAGGAGTTTTTACAGTTGTGCAACTGGAAGTAGAATAAAAACGAACTTTTAACCAAGCTGAATGTGACTGTTAGAAAATGCAAACCCTTTCATCTGAAATCTGTAGAAGCAGGAGACACTGATGTAAACTTCAGCAGCAGCAAAAAGAAAGCTTTCCAAAAGTTTTATTCTCTCATGTGAAAGGCTGGGTAATTAGTTGGGCTTTATGGAATATTACTTGACTTGCATTAGACACTGTAAGTGTGAGCAAAACAGGCCAGAAGAGATGATACACAGTAAAATGTAAAAAAAAGGACCAAAGAAAGAAGAGACATTAAGGACAAAAAAAGAATAAATTAAAAAAAGGCAAAATACACACACCATGCACACGAGCTGGAGAAAAAGGTCAAATAAAAATAGATTCAAGGTAAGGACAGAAGAGAGACAAAGACTTTAAATGTTAATGAGAAAAGATAATCCAAAAAGAAAAAAAAAATAAATCTGGTAATGAGACATTAGAAAAACCTGATGATGTAAAAACAGGGAGAAAATAACCAGAGATGAATATAAGAGCAGTAATCAACCAAAGAAAATCTTCAGTTAATTGTAATGCCATGCAAAAAATAAAAAATGCCATCTCTATTCCTAATTACTCCTTGCAGTCAAAGACGAAGACAAACGTAACGAAGTTTTTAGTTCCAAGAAAACACTGAAGAGCACGACTAAAAGGACATCAATATAAGTAAGGAAAAAGAAGAAACAAAAACTTATTCCATTCATTCAGTGTTTCTGAATAAGAAAATAAACATTTTCTAACAGCTTTGGAGCAGCACATGTTTAAATCAAGAACAAAACCTTCCTTCACACAGGACAGACAAAAGTTTTTGCAAGCTGGCCAGGGCAGTACACCTGCCATGAGCTGTACAAGTTTTAAACATCTCAATATTTGAAGTCTCTTTACAGGCTGTATGCTTGGAAGTCCTCATCATGGAAGATGGTGGAAATGACCTTATTTTAGATGCTTTCCTTAACAGAAGACATGAATTTGGAACTCAGGAAGAGAAAGAAATCTGGGTACTTTCATTTTATGCTTCTTCTCCATAAGCAATAAAAAACAACCCTGCATCAAGATTTCAATCCCTCTTTCTTTATGCCCTTAAGCAAGTTCAGAAGTAAACAGGTGACATTTCTGTCTGATTTTTGTAGGAAAAAAGGTTTGACCTCCCACCTTCCTGTATACACAGGCTCAGAGAATCACCACACATCATACAACACCTTGGAACAATCCCCAACATGGATAGTGTTTGTGCCCTTAGAGCTTCTGTGCTGGAGTACCCTCTGGCTTTTTACAGCTAAGCACTTGTGTTCAAAGGCTCCTCACTAGGAGCACACTCCAATGCAGTGAAAGCCTCCTTATCCTTCTCCCTGTGCAGCACACCCTGGCTTAGTGCAGGCAGACTTCTCGGTTTTAGTGGAAATAACACGGGATTTCTCAAGCAGTAAAGAAAGTCCTTCACTTAACACAGTCCCTGTTCCTTTTATGTGCCTGTTCTGTCACCTCCACTCCCCAGGCAGGATGGAACACACAGTCAGGCAGATGTGCAGTCCAACTGCACCCATGTAAGGATTCCTGGATCTGTAACTCTGATTAGCTGGACCATCCTTTGATTGGATGAAGCAACAAAAACCCACAGGGAACTCATCCTGCTGATGATCAGATTCCAGAGGGAACAGCCTGGACCCACCTCCTGCCCTTTTGTATTTCCATTCATAGACCTTCAAGTGGAACCTGCACTCCCTCTCATGGTGGTTTCCCTCACCACAACTCACTCAGGTTTAAGAGCCTCCACTGGTCTCAGTCACTTTGGTACAAATGTTACCAAAACTGAGGTCTTTCAAAGGGAAAGGGTGGGTTGTTGTCATTAACATCATCCAAACACCACATCACTTCTTTTGTTACTTAAATTGCCTCAAGATCCACAAAACTACACAATCCTCTTCACTCAACCATGTCTGACTCAGACCAAATTTTTTTTAATCATTTTTATAACAAATGGTTTAGAGAAAAATGCCCTTAATGTAGCTCCATTTTCTGTGTAATTTTCATTAGCAGGCTTGCCAAGCTCTCAAGTAGTTTTTCTGTTGTTGCTGCCCCTAAAACCCAGCAACACACTGAAGAAAAACATACCTATCTCAATACCTTCCTCAATAAAATCATCCAGCAGCTCTTCATTTTAATGATATTCCTTAACACAGGCAAACAGTAAGAGTGTTTCATTTACTAAGGAGTGAATGGATAAAAACAAACAAAAGAACCCCTCATTATTCTGTTTTGAAGCTTCTTTGTACCTTTGTCCAATGCTTTTTAAATCAAATATTTATGATGGATATAATTAACAATTTCTTGCTTCAGAGGCTGAAAAGAGACCAGGAATGAAGATCAGATTACATTCACAGTAAAATACACAAGATTTACCCAAATTCCATTGTTCTCCTGTAGCAAATGTGAAAGTGCAGGTATTATTAGTGCACTAAGAACCTTTGGTGAAGGGATTATCATTATCTACTTTCAATATCAGATTTTCATACTACAAAGGAAATGAGCAAAGGACAATAGAAGAATATGCATAATAGTAACTTGCAGTGCTCTCTGCAGTCACTGTGTGCAGGGAGGTGACCTCAGTTATCTGTTTACAGTGCTCTTACAAGGCCATCTACTAACCCTGAAAACATCCCTTTAGGTTTCTAAAAAGACACAATTTTCCTTCAAAAAAAGGCCGAGACCCACAAAAATAATAGTAAAGTAATAAATTTCCTTTAAGAACAATAACCTAGAACATAACATGGCATCACAGCAATTATCATTCAAGCAACAGGTGTGTGCACAGATATATATATATATATATATAGACAGATAGATAGATATATAAGTATGTTCTCACCGAATGTATGAGTGTCATGTTCCTGATGACTTTCCCTCTGCAAGGCTGTCAGCTTTTTATGTGCATCAACCCACCAGGGTTTGTACTTTAAAACATGCTGAATAGCTTCATCTTCAAAAAAATCAGCTCTAGGGAAAAGAAATAGAAAAGTCATATGCTATTTATTTCAGTTCATAGTGCATGTGGGTATATATTAATGCACATATAAAATACACCTCACTGGGCTCTGGGCTATTTTCCACACATTAGAGATATGTTCTTTGACTTGAAAGCAGAAAATAATCATTATTAAAAGCATAAACAACATTCTCTTATCTTATAGTATCCCTTCCTTACTTCTTCCACCTTCCCTGAGCCACCCAGAATCCCAGGATGTTGATGAGCTTGCAGCATGACACAAAGCTGAACAAACATGATTTGTTCTGGATGTATTAAAAGGAAAATATTCCAAAGAGAAGGCTCCTCAGACAAATCACTTGTTTTTACTGGGAAGCTCTCCCACTCAAGAACTAGGTATTCTGTGGGGAGGAAGGGTGTGCAGCTGAAGGTAAACACAGAGTAGGGATGGACTTTTAGGTAAACAAGGACACGAAGCAGGAAAGTTGAAAAAGAAGAGTTGTACATGAATTCTGGAAGAGATTACATCCATCTCAGCACAAAGCCACTGTGGTAAAAACCTCAATGTAGTAATTCTGGGAGGATTTCTACTAAAGGACTCAAGTTCTAAGCCTCCTTTTACCATATGAGCTTTTTCTTCGAGCCAAACAATGGTATAAATACAGAGAACTGAAAAAAACTGCAGGAAATTTCTTAAAACCTTCTTAATCACCACACAAAACCTGCCCAGTCTACTGAACAGAGAATGGAATTTGCTTCACTCTCACGCTGACAGATGTTTTTGTTGCCTTCCTTCAATGTCATTATAAAGTCACTTAGAGATATCAGTCAGTGTACACTTTGCTCAAAGGCACCAGAACACTTGTTTGCCACCGTTTCTCCCAGAGCTTCTGTTCTTAATCAGGGTACTTGGGAAAACAATTTTTCTTGAAGAAAGGCTGGGATCATCTGTTCTGAAGCAACCAAAACACAGCCATTAGACTAAATGGTGTAACTCATCTACCAGGCCAGAACACAGAGTCTAAAGTGGAAACTTAGAATTACTGTAATTTGCATCCCATTATAGGTTAGGAACTACTTCAGTTCTAGTGAAATGTACTTCCAAGTGATATTTCCAGAAAGCTGTTCTATTTTCTGTGTGCTACAGAAAGACATGAGGCTGCCTCTGAAACACCCAACTGGGGAAAAATTCCAGGTTTGCAAAGATACCTTCTGAAAAAACTCAGAGCGGGTAAAGCCTTCCTGACCCCCACAAAACACACCAGAGGACTAGTTCTCCCTACTGGGGACTAAACTCTTCCCCCACCAAGCTCATCTTGCAGAAATCAATGTACATTAATAGATCTCATGGCTCCAACTTATTTTATTTACAGCTTCTAAACTTAACTTGACCTGAAAAAAACCAACCTGAAAAGAACACCAAGAATCACTTCCATGTTCATTACATGGAAGGAAGCACAAAAGAAACAAAGTAGCACAAAAGAAACATAAAGTTTTGATTTGGAACTTTTCCTCATTCTGCTTTAATACAGCTTTCACGTGAAAGCAAAAAACAAAGTGGCCAAGACAAAATATTCCTAACTTCAAAACTGAAATTACCTCCTCATAGACCAGGATGGTTCATTAATCCTTGTTTCACAAGAGGAAAACAAAGTTCTGACATCTACAACCCAAAATGCTGGCAGGGATTGGCTGCTCAGCTGCTGAAGAGGTGAACTATGAAACAATGTTCTGCAAGAGTTCACAGCAGCCCCACTTGAACAGGGACTTAAGCAGTAATTAAACAGTTGAGTAACCCCAAAACAGATGGGCAATGTCTTGTGTGTCACACTAAGAAAACCCTCCAGGGCCTGCCCTGATGAGACAAAGAAAGAGACAAATGAAAAGTGAAATTATTCTTTCCAGACATGATCTTTAAACCAAATAATTTATGAAAAGGAAAAGTGAATGTATTTCAGCTGAGGTACCTCTCCTTGAGCAGGTGAAGTCAATCAATACTCACAGGTAATGATCAGGCTCAAACTTGGCAGCCTCAGCTTCCAGGCGTCTCCTCCTTCGTTCATCTGCAGGAGTCTGGTCTGGATCCTTGATGTCAATCACATCACTGAGCTCATCCTGCAAAGGGAGCCAAAGTTATAGGGCCAAGCCACACGTATGACATGCAAGACTGATTTAGTAATGATTTAGGAAGGGATCAGCATTACACCGAAATCCCCAGATCTTCAACCTCCCTTTCCAAATTCTGCCTTCACTGTGCAAATGAAACATCCAAATTCCAAGGAAATGCAATTATTTGAAGCCTCTTAGAATTCATGGTATTATCAAGTCTATTCAGGACATTTTATCATAAGGCAGGGAGGTTATTTTGCACTATTGTAAAAGTTGAAATATTTAACAAAAGCACACAACCACAGTGAAGACAAGATAAAAATCACAGATACTGTTCTTGTGACTTTTGAGATTACTCTCGCTCTCTGAAGTGGCTGTACATGAATTAATAGGCAATTGCAGTGCCCTTTTAAACATCATTAAGCAGTGGTACTTTAATGCTGCTGGGAAATGTATTTCTTCACAAGTAAACCAGTATGTATATTCTAACAGAATATAAATACTTTCTCCATAAATAGCAATCCTTCTGCTCCCAAACCTGAAAATACTACGATTCATGCAATAATTAGAGTTACAGAATTAAGTTGCTTTAAACAGCTACAACTTAGTTGCTTAGAGCAAGAACACTACAAAAAAATCATCATCTATTTTAATAACAGTGCTGTGGACTATAAGTATTGTTGTACTACTCAGCATGCTACAGGTTTTAGATTAGTTTCAATCAATTCATGGCTAAAAGTAACTGCTGAAGGCACAAGAGCAGAGTAACAGCATTTGAAGTCTCCTATCCTACCAATCAACACACAAAAGCAAATTTAGATGCCTCAGCATAATGCTAGTGAACTCCAGACACCTTGAAGAGTCCACTCTTCAAAAGTTGCCTTGTGAGCCAGAGAGCCCACACAGCCAGTTAAACAGAACTTTTATGACAGGAAAAGACAAAAATGCACCTACCTGCAGCCTCTGGAACACCCCTGACCGCAAATTCCCAAATCCATAAGGGTGCTGCAGTGGTGGAGTGCTTTCTGAACTTTCTTCATAAGGGGTCTGCTCTATTTCCCAGTCAAATTCTTCTTCCTCCTCCTCCTCAGACAGCTCAGCAGAGGCAGCTGCATACATTGCATGGTCAGAGAAAGAAAATCAGTGCACAGAAAACATATATATGATTTCCTAGAAAGGCAAACACTGGTAGCACAGAAAGCCTTTCTCATTTTACTACATCTTTTAAGAAATCTTACACAACACTGGGGGGTCATACAGGTCAGTGACCCACAGGTCCTGCTTCCAACTCTCCCACTTTCAAAACTGAAGACCAGGAATACTAAATTTTTTAAGTGTACTCCCTCAAAGACTGAAATACTTGTTCCACTGATTTCAACAAGATCAGAATTTGATGTTAAGAGGACCCTGACAAAAGTGATGTTATCAATAATTTAAGATAGGTACTAAAAGTTTAAACAGAGATAGTCAAACATTTCTGTCTGTTAAATACTGATGTTAAGCAAGATATCCATCAGAACCTGGGGTTTTAATCAGCTGCTCATATGAGCTAAAAGTCCAGTTGTGGTAGTTTGTAGAAAGCAGAAGACTCCAATGTGTGTGTGCTCTACAGCCACTAGAGGGGCACAAAGATCTACAGAGAATTAGCATATTTTAAAGCACATTTTGGAAAAATTTTAACATAACTAAACCTATAAAGCTGACATGTATATTGTCTACAACATACTTATTTCTACATTTATTCATACCCTTCTCACACCTAGGACTAGCCAGTAATAAATACTGTATTTTTCCACATATATCACTTTAGATCTAAAACTGTTTCATTATGTACATATATCATTAGTATAAACACAATTTTTCTTATCATACCTATCTCTTCTACCAAAGGCTTTGCTGATCTTGATTTCTTTGGTGCTAAAAGAGATGTCAGCATGTCCAGGCCCTCAAAATATTGGCCAGGAACCTCCTTGGGTAACCGAATTGTAAAAGTTCCTTAAAAGAAAGTCAGAACGTAGTTAGTGCATTAAAATATCCAAGACAAACAAAAATGTGCATTTTTCCTCTCATCAAAAAGGCTCAGAGGAAGTGGGACACATACTGGTAGCATTTCATTATGCATCAATCTCTGTGCATGTTTTTAACCTTATTTCACAAAACTCAAAGATTTTAATGATAAAACATCAAAGAGAATATTTAACCAGTTGTGGTCTCCTGACTCACATTGTGTAAACACAAACCAACAGAAGAATACAAGCTCTGTTTTATTTTTAATCCTTCCACCAAACAAGTTACAGAAGATCATAAGAAACTCCTTCAGCAATCTGATTGTCTTAAGTCAAGCATGTAATAAACACTCTGCAAGCAACAAATTTATAGGCTCTATTGCTTTTTTGTTTTCAAGTATAAATTACTGGAGTTAGTAGCATTTTTCATGACATATATACCAATAACATGACCCAATACCTTCGTCTGTATTATAGGATGCTTTTTCTCTGCCATCTTCTACAATTCTCCCAGGAAGTGTCAATCTGTGGGCAAAAAATGAGGTGCAGAATTAGTCAGGCTTTCAATGAGGCAACTTAACATCTCAGCCTATAAACATGTAAGGCACATTCCAAAAGCAGCACAAAGGATTAGACTACGTGACTCCCTTTGATAGTAATGGAAGCCACGCAGTTAAATCCCCGTGGATTCCTCTCAGGAAAAGACACACTTGTTCTACAAAACTACAGCCAGAGAACTGTCTGGCCGTCTCACAATTAAAAATATATTGTAAGTTAAATTTAGAAAAGTTTCTTTCAACTCTCTTTAATGTGATTTAATGCCTAAGAACAAAGAGGCCAGAGCCAAAATAACAGATCTTTGCATGAAGTGGGCTGTCTGCAGCCACCCTTGTAAAAGCTGCAGATGAGGAATGTTCTGGAGGGACCAAAATTAAGTTCAATCTCTACTATGAAGTTCAAATTTTATAAGTTTTCCCACTACTTGCCTGAGAAAGTATGGCTTAGCATAAAACTTAAAGTCTTCCCCTTCAAAATACACATCAAACTCTGAAGCTCTGGCATAAGGTACTCTGATTATTATCGTGAGAAAATCCGGATCCTGGGTCAGTTCAAAAGCTGGAGTTATCATGATGGATCCAGCAGGAAAAGCAATGACTGTGTGGCCCTATAAAAATAAGAAAAAGATTATTGTAGTTTCCATTTTATGAGAGCAAATTGTGTCTCTTCAGAATTTGTTAAGAAGAACATTTCAGATTCTCACAAAATGATCTTCCACATGCTCAAGAAGAAAACACTCATGACAACAACATCAAAGTGTTATCCAGAATGTGAAGGTACCACCTCTGCACCTTAATGAAACACCTGAATGTTAATAGATGCAAAAAAGCACCTGTTATATTCCACATAAAAAACCCACCCTGAATTCAGCCCTAAAACTTTTAAACTTTCTGTAACTGTTACTTATAATCTCACATATAGACCTTTACAGTTCTTTAGTGAACTGATCACAGACCACTACTAGAAAACACTGAAAAAGAGTAAAACTTGCAAAAAAAAAATAGAGCTGTATTTTATAGTTCACACACACATTGGCCAGAAAACGAGCAACAGATGCAAGGTCAGTTTAGATGAACATCCATCAGAACCACATGTGTGTATCCACACTTGCACATGTACATATTTAGCACGAGAGAAGGAATTTACATAGAACTATTCACCCAATATACAACTTGTCTGACTCTTCAATAGCTTCTAAATACGAGATAATTCATCAGGTTTAATTTAGAATCCAGTTGTGGACTGGAGTTTTGTTTGTTTGGGGAGGGCATGTTTACAAATGGGCACGCAGTTTTGAAAACTAACTTTTTAAAACAAAAATATTTTAGCCAAAAAATGGAGAATAGAACTAAACTGTGAAAGTGAGTGAAAAGTAGCACTTTCCCAGATAAATGTTTGTTAAATATATCCCAGTTGTGACAATGAAATTGTGACAATTTCAAGAACAGACACCAATCATTAACCATTAACAGGGCCAAATTAACAGATTACCTTTTTCTTCATATGGGTAATCTACCTCATTTGGCACACGTGAAAAAAATTAAACTCCCCATTGCACCGTACTACTTAATTCAAGGGCAACATTCCCACCCTTTCCAGGCTGAAAAGCTGCCAGGTGTTTACATAAAGTTGTGCCTGGATAGGGAACACCTGCAAACCAAAAGTACAGCCCTATGGGCTTTCTTCTTGTCTACTTCAACACCGCAAACTGGGATACAAGAATCCAGCCGCTCGTTTAGACCCCTCAGGGGGTGTCAGTCGGCAAGTTTTATTTCCTTAAGTCAGAGTTTCATCTATTAAGAGCAGTCCCAAAGCCAGGCCCAGCCGCCCCTGCGCTGCTGCTGCACTTGGAGCATCCCTGACCCAAAGGAACGACCCCAAACCTCTCCGGAGGCTGCCACACAACCCCTCCGGTATCTCACGGCTAAGGAACGGCGCCAAGACGCCGCTCCAGCCGCATGTATCCCGAATAATCCCGCTTCCCAGCCCTTCCCGAGCAAACACCGCTGCGCTCCAGGGAAAGGCGCAGGGAGCAGGACGGGGGGGGTTCGGTAAAACACAACCTCCCACCGCTGGCTCACACCGGGCCGAGGGCCCACCTGCACCCGTAACCCCTCGGGGGCACCCTCCCGAGCCCTCCAGCGGGACAGAGCCTTCCGAGGAGGCGGCTCCCAGCGGGAAGAGCCCCGGGATAAGGGGATGAGGAAGGGATGATGAGCCCCATCCGCGCCCGCCCGCGCCGCCACTCACCGCCCGCGCCGCTTCCCGCGCCCGCCCGCACCAGGGGCGGGGCCGCGCAGGCGCAGACGGGGCGCGCCCCGCCCCTTAATGGCGGCCCCTGCGCCGCCCTCACGGAGCGCTGTTCTCGGCCAGCCTGGGCACAGCCGGCTGCTTGTCTGTACCCCTGCTGGTTTTCGCGAAATACACGGGAATTCAGACATCACCTTTAAATTCGAGTCGCTCTTAAAAATCTAATGGAGTTGCGCGATGTTTCCCAGAGTTGCCAGAAAGGAAATGGTTAACAGTTAGTGTGGGCATGGTCAGTGTAACTGTGTAAAACCTAAGTTGTTTAGGCTAAAAATCAGAATCCGCCCCCTTGAGAAATGGAAAGAATGGATTCTTACCTGCAGTTGCATAAAATGTATTGCATGCGCTCTGCATGTTTTATTTCAGCTGCTTTTCATAAGTGGAAATCGAACAGGTTTTAGTGCGTGGAAGAGTTGGTTTGTTCTTTCCTATGAAAACAGTGGTTACTCCAGGGCTAATTCATGTGAGCAAATGTCCTGTTATTTCTGTTGTGTTCACACTTTGCTGCAGGGGAGGTAGATCAGTAAACTGAGGAGTGATCCTGTGAGCACTGTCGGAGTAGGAATTCCCAATTACATCTCTTCTAAGCCATTGGATAAATGCAGAACAACACTGACAGTGTGAAAAGAGGCAGATCCTGATGAATTACAATGCAGCATTAAGGAGCAAATGCAACAAGAAGGTCAAAAAATTGCCAAAAGCAGAAAAGTCGGTTTAAAGGCCGTAATTTATTAAATATAGCACCTAATGTAGAATTAGTCTGATTTTCCTGCCATTAGACCATGAGAGGTATTCTGGTTCCAGATAATTCTTTGCATCTTTAAATACTGCTGACTATCTTCCTCTTGCTGCCCCCTCTGAGATGCATTCAAACATTTTTCCTGGAGGGAGAAAGCATAATTATGTAACTTCTGCTAATAAATTTTCCTTTAAAAAAAAAAAGTAGACAAACAATCCCCCAGGCTGGAAATCCACTAAATATGACATCTCTTCATGGGATAACTTCTTTGTTCTTGTGCAGAACTGAACCAGCAGTTTAGATACTGCACAAAAATCAAGTGATTTGCTTCAAAATAGATCATTCTCCCCACTGATCTAAAACTGATGTACGGTTTTAATAATCTGCCTAAACTTCCTTGTGTCCCACTTTTTCTCCTGCAGAAATTGAAGATACATGGCATATAAAATGCATTTTCTGTTATAATAAGAAATCAATGACATCTAATTTCAGATGCTGATTTGACTTGGACCAAGGCCTCGATCATGTCCTTAGAAACTTTTGATGCATTTCCAGAGGAATTCTGCACTGATTAACTTTTGGACCTTACCGATGTAATCTATAATAAGAATATTGGACAGGAAGCTGGATTATGAACCAGTAGGCACCGTCTTCTCTGCATAAATTCAAATTTGCAGGACAAGTCCATAAAAGATAAGAAGTTTCATTAGAGAGTTTATTCTTGTCTAACTGATACTTTCCAATACTGCCTCACTGTCATTTTTTTAGACTCTAAGAACTCCCAGCCCTTTTTTTCTGGTAATAGTTGCCTTGTGAAAGAACTATTTATATGCTGATTTCAGTGAAGAAGCTGGTGCCTCAGCCATTCTGCCTTTCCATCCAAGTAAAGTATGGAGGAGCATCTCTAAGGAATGTTTATTGCTTTCTTCTGTAAAAAGCGTACTGAATTTTTTAGAACTGTAATAAAAAGTTTTATTTGGAAATGTACAAAGACCGCTTTACATCTCTTGGTGCGTCTCTCTGATGAAGAAGTTAATTTGGCTGCTATATGTTTAATGCAGCACTGAAGAATGAAAAAACGTTATCTACAGTGTTTTGGGCAAGTAATTAGGAAAACTTGCTGTTCCTTTGAAAAATAGAAACATGAAGCTTTGCAATTTCTGAGCACATTTGACTCTACGTGGCTAATAATAACAAGTAAATCTGGCATAATCTCACAGATATGATACATAATGTATTCTGGATATATAATTGGCATGTACATACAAATGGTAATCAGATACAGAGTATGCATTTAGTTTAACAAGTAAAATGAAGAATAAAATTGTTTCTGTATGTAGGAAACAAATGGAAATAAATTAGGCATAGGTTTCAATCAGAAATACATTTCTCTGTCAAATACACCATAAAATACAATACAACACATTGCTATTTCCATTGTCTAAATTATCTGTTTAATAATTTCTATAAACAACTAGAAGTAGTTCTGTAGTTGTTAGACTTACACTTAGCAAAAATTTGGTATAAATTAACAATGTAAACAATAATTGAGGGCTTTTCTTGTGATGGAAATAGCAGATATCACTGCACACTTGAGCAAAATTCATATTATTCTTCCCTTTAAATTTGAAAACAAGTGAAAAACAAATATTTTGACTTCTTTTGTCTAAGTGGCCTGAAGCATTCCTCCAAATCTAATGCATTTTAATCTGAATTTCCTTTCCCCATAGATTTGATTTTCCAGGGGTTCATAATCCTTAACTGTTTCACTTACAGAAGTACTGTGGCCACAATATCAGGATATCTCCATAGCTTTATTTTTGCTCTTTCCTCTTGCCGTTTCCATTATCCAAAGATAATGAAGCTTCTCATTCTGTTTCTCCAGAGAAGGATCCTGGATCACAAAGACCTTCTGTGCTGTCTCAGATAAGCATAAGAACCTGGGTCTCTGGAGACAGGGTGATGGTCTTCATAAATCCAGGATCAAACTTGCAAATCTCTACAAGGATAAAGTGGTAACAGCCGGGCGTGTAGGTTTGTAATCTGTCTCTTGGTGTTACATTTTGTAGCATTACCTGCCAGACACATCTCCAAGGGCCTTTGAAGTAGGTGTGTGTGAAGTTTGAGTGTGAGAGATCAAGTTGGAGATTGGCTTCTTAGTGACGGAAGGACATAAACTGTAATTCCGGTAACAGAGGCCCAAATGAACCTCTGTGAGAGCCTGAGCTGCCACTGATTGCAGGACAGTTCTCGGGTCAATGGCCCAGGAGCAGCCCAGAGGCACACTGGGTATGGCATGGATTTGGGCCAAATGTGGGGGGGTTTTGTGCTGAAGCAACTTTCAGGTTCTTTAACAGCTCTCCAGGGATCTGCTGTGGCTGTTACGTTAAAAGCCCTTGGAATCGTTCAACTTTTACTCCAGGAGCAGCATGTAAACACCTTTGTTTGCTAATCTGGTTTTTTAGCTCAGACGTAGGACAGTGAATTTTTGAAATGTATTGCTCCCTAGATAGTATGTGGTATGATTTTCTTTCTGTGACTGATCTGCAGAGGGTGCAGGTCGGTTACATCCCTGTTCCTGGGAACCTGGCTCTTTTCACCCAGCCATTTACTCTTGCATTTACAGGGTTGTCTGACTCTTTGGCTGCTGCAGAGAACGGGTCTTCTTATACAACCTTAGAAACAGTAGCCCAAAACATATAAAATTACTGAGAGGGCTTAATTTTTAAGATTTTCTCAAAATATAACTATGCTTTAAATCAGTGCTTTACGGAGCTACATTAAAAAAAAGTACATTATAACACAGGCCTTTGAATGATTAACCTCTTAATATATTTGATGATGCCATGATATGTGTCTGCAATATAAAATACACCGAACACACTTGATATTAATAAATTTGTTCAAGTCTAAAATATGTGGCTCCCTATTTTTTTATTGTTATAGATCCAAGCCATCACTCTGACTGATCACAGCCACCGTCACATATCAAGGCTGCACATTGTGGCCAGTCCGTTGCTTTACTGCCAAAATTGAACATCAGAGAGTGCAGCAGATTCAGCAACATTGATTTAAGGGTGCACTGTAATTCTGTTCCAGCCCAGCCATGGAACTGATTTTGGGTGAGCATGCAGCTGGCAGCACGGGAAAGTTGATATTTGCACATCTTAATTTGGAAAAAAAATGATGCAAGTAGGCAGGTGAGTGGTGGCACTGCAGTAGGTCATGGAAACAAGATGAAAGTATCTAATAATCCCTTAGAATGTTTTCCAGATTTCTAATGTTTGCCTTGGATTTCTATGCAGACATTGCTCACACATCTCCTAGAGAAGAAAAGAGATTGTGTTGATAGTATAACATCACACATTTGAACAGCTTGAGGATTTCAGGGGGTTGCTACTGGTACTCATTTTTTTTACTAAGTATGAAGTTTGGTAGGGTTTTATTATAGTCCATATATTCTCAGGAAAGAGCATATGTTTATGCATTGTGGTTTTTCTGTAGTTTCTCATTTAGTATTGCTATTTTCCCTTAGGATGAAGTGATTTATATCTGGCCAGAAACTGAGTTGGATGAAATTCTGAAACAGTAGTTGTTCATTGCATTTGCACTAATACTAAGGTAAAGTACATTTTGGGATACGACTGGTAAAGGCATGTGGTGACAGCAGTGTAAAATGGACAGGCTGCAGAGTTTCTCTGCCAAGTGAATGCCATTTAAGTAGTGAAGGCCAAGCACAACCAAGTTCACTTCCAGTGCTGGCTCTGTGAGGGACTTGTGAGGCTCCACTTTCCCTTCTCTCCCCATTGCAGTGCTGACATTTCCATTCCATGCAAAGTTTATGCTCCAGATCCATGGGGCAACAAGAATCCTTGCATTTCTGTCATTCTTTTCATTTAAAGGTCATAAATCAGATTGTGAACCCAAGTAGGATTTATTTCTATGAAATTCACAGTGTGGTAATCTCTGATGATGTTGCACAGAAGACCAGCTAAGGTGGGTCACACGGGGACAAGTCCAAAGCTGCACAGAAGGGAGTGAATGTTTCGTTTCTTCGCTGTCCTACAAGTATTGCAGTTTATTGCCATACAACCTGCCTTCGTAGCAGGTGGGATGAGAACAGCGTGTATGAAGGTGATGAACTGTGTCTGCAAGGCGGAGGGAAGCTCGGCACCAGTTTGATGTTCGCACAGACAGACGAAAGGCGCTTCAGAGGCCAGTTCCCTCTCTCCCCTTTCCCTCCTGCTCACCTTGCTGTGCACACTGACTCCTTCCAGCACCGCGCACCTGCACAGGCGTGAAATCAGAGGTACCTCGGAGTAACAGCGGGGCGCGGAGCCCTGCCTGGCGTTCCTTGTTGGAGTTATTAATTAATAATAAGCTTTATTGGTCTCGTCGCTGGTAAGTGACGAGACTTTCCCAAGCGTGCGGCGGCTACTCCAGACAGTACGGTAGGACAGTACGGTAGCGGCCCCGCCCCGCCGGGCCGGGCTGGGCGGCCACGTCCCCGCTCGGGCCGGGCTGGGGCGGCGGGACCGGCGCGGGGACCCGGCCATGCGGCCGCGCTGACCGGCCATGCGGCGGCCCTGCAAGGTGGCGGCGGCCCTGCTGTGCCTCGCCGTGCTGCTGCTGCTGTACCTGCTGGCGGGCAGCGCGGCCCCGCCGCCCGCGCCCTCCGCGCCCGCCCGCCGCCCGCCGCGCCTCGGCCGGAGCCCCCCGCGCCGGAGCGGCGGCACCGCCGGCCACAGGTAACGGGGGCGGCCCCGTCCCCCGGCCCCTGCCCGCGGAACCCCCC